GTTGTACAGAGATCACCCGTAGAGGGGGGGGGGGGGGATTGTTTTGGGGTTTTTTTTGGGTTTTTTTAAAGAAAAGTGGATGAACTCTTTAACTGAAGTACCCGGAGCAGTAGCGGACTGACAACTCATGGGGCCCCCAGGCAATGGGGGATCATGGCGCCCCTGTTTCCTTGCCCAAACAAAAAAAAAAAAAAAGCCCTCGGGGCACTGCCCCTGGTACCTTTTTTCATAGGCCTTTTTGAGTTTGGGCAAGGACACAGGGGCCCCATGATCCCCTATTGCCCGGGGGCCCCATGAGTTGTCAGTCCGCCCCTGGTTGTGCATTTAAAATCTGCCTAGCAACAAGAAAAATAATTAAAAACTCTAAAACACAGCAAAACGCAATGCAGAAACACCTCAAACGTAACCTGCATAGGTGTGAACCGAGCTTGGTTGCCTATAGGCCTGGTTTCCCTAGGCTGGAAATCTGCCCTATGAGAGCATAGCCCCCCCCCCCCCCAAACCTTCCAATCGCTGGGCCAAATTTCTCCAGCAAAGAGTGGGATAGGATTAGAGGCTCTGCTTGGTATTTGTTAGTGCCGATGCCCTTGTTGGGAAGATTGCTCCTCACCTCTCTCTCCAATGACACCCTGGAGGAGATTTACTAAAACTGGAGCACCCAGATTCTGGTGTGGCTGTGCATGGGAGCCAATCCGCTGCTGACTTCAGCTTGTTCAATTCAGCTTTGGCAATAAAACGGAGAAGCTGATTGGTTTCTATGCACAGCTGCACCAGATTTTGCACTCTCCAGTTTTAGGAAATAACCCCCACGGTGTCCTGGTATAAAGTGGTGTCACTGGGATGGTAAGTGAAGGGAAATCTCAACGGGGACTGCAAAAAACACATGACAGAGGCGCTGACAACCTTCTCAATATTTTTATTTATTTCAGGTACTTATATAGTGCGTCAAAGTACGCTGCGCTTTACATATATATTGTACATTCACATCAGTCCCTAACCCTCAAGGGGTGTACAATCTAAGGTCCCTAACCCTCAAGGGGGTACAATCTAAGGTCCCTAACCCTCAAGGGGCGTACAATCTAAGGTCCCTAACTCACATTCATACATACACATACTAGGGCCCTAATTTCGACAGGGCCAATTCACCCTACCAGCATGTCTATATGATACATTGTAACCTCTACATTATACATTGTAATATCTATATTATTATTAGTATTTCAGGTACTTATATAGCGCCCTCAATGTACGCAGCACTTTACATATACCCTATTGTACATTCACATCAGTCCCTAACCCTCAAGGGGTGTACAATCTAAGGTCCCTAACCCTCAGGGGGCGTACAATCTAAGGTCCCTAACCCTCAGGGGGTGTACAATCTAAGGTCCCTAACCCTCAGGGGGTGTACAATCTAAGGTCCCTAACCCTCAAGGGGCGTACAATCTAAGGGCCCTAACCCTCAGGGGGCGTACAGTCTAAGGTCCCTAACCCTCAAGGGGTGTACAATCTAAGGTCCCTAACCCTCAGGGGGCGTACAGTCTAAGGGCCCTAACCCTCAAGGGGTGTACAATCTAAGGTCCCTAACCCTCAGGGGGCGTACAATCTAAGGGCCCTAACCCTCAAGGGGTGTACAATCTAAGGTCCCTAACCCTCAAGGGGTGTACAATCTAAGGTCCCTAACCCTCAGGGGGTGTTCAATCTAAGGTCCCTAACCCTCAGGGGGTGTTCAATCTAAGGTCCCTCACCCTCAGGGGGTGTTCAATCTAAGGTCCCTCACCCTCAGGGGGTGTTCAATCTAAGGTCCCTCACCCTCAAGGGGTGTACAATCTAAGGTCCCTAACCCTCAGGGGGCGTACAATCTAAGGTCCCTAAGCCTCAGGGGGTGTACAATCTAAGGTCCTTCACCCTCGGGGCGTACAATCTAAGGTCCCTCACCCTCAGGGGGCGTACAATCTAAGGTCCCTCACCCTCAGGGGGCGTACAATCTAAGGTCCCTAACCCTCAAGGGGCGTACAATCTAAGGGCCCTAACCCTCAAGGGGCGTACAATCTAAGGGCCCTAACTCACATTCATACATACACATACTAGGGACAATGTAGACAGGAGACCATTCACCTCCCAGCATGTCTTTGGAGTATTGGAAAAGTTGTTGCTATTTTGTCTGTATTTTGAGCGATTTTCTTGTTTCCTACCTGGGGACATAAGAGGAAGTGAGGAGAAATCTCCTAAACTGTGAAACAGACCTGCAGGGGAGTCCGCCCCGCCCCCACTCTTTCAGCAGGAGTTCCTCTTTAATACCTTGCAGTGTATGATAAATGTTCACCTTGTTCTCTCCCCCGGATAGGCAGGAGCCGGTCATTTGGGGCCCGTGGTGCAGACTCCGCTCTCCCCTCATATCCTGAGCCACGTTTCCCAGATCCCGCAGTGTGGAGCAGAAAAGTGAATTTTCTCCTAAAGCCTTAAGTGGGGAAGCCATGCTAATTGTAAATCGATGCATCTTAAAATGTACCATTGATCTGCAGTTACAAGTTAGGAGAGAAACTGTAATTACGGCCTTTTTCAAGGGCTTTTTTATTCCTGGGATCCGAGCAAAATAAATAGAAATGGTCGCAGGAGCCGCTGATCTCTCTATTAAAGTAGAACTCCGGTGTAGAATTTTTTTTTTTTTATCTGTCTTTACTGCAGAAGGGTCCTGACTTTTATCGTACGCATTGCAGCTTTGTGCCCTGCAGGCCGGGGATACCTCTCCTCTGGCTTTGTGGGAACATGGAGCTCCAGCCGCCCCTTTCTGCGCCAGCCCTTTTGCCCTTTACACCCCCCTGCACTTCTCAGGCCTACAGGGGTGATGTCGCGAGGCAGCGGCCACAGCCCCTGCTTGTTCATAATGGTGCACAACAGCTTGAGCCACACAGACTTCTGGGACGTGTAGTCCGTGTGTCATCGCTGCTCCTTGCCCAATAGCATACCACAGGAAGGAGAAGAATGGGACTGGAGTGGTCACTTGACCGCAGCGCTACACTCCTATAAACATCTATGCAGGTCGGGGGCGTCTGTAGATGAAAACAAACTGCAGCTCTGACCAAAGTTGAATAATGTCCTTGCTATAGGTGTAGGCCATTTACATACCTCTTAAATACTCCTAAGGGATGGCATCATCCCGTCCTACCTTGTTGCTAGGCTGTTGCTAAGACACTCCCAGCCGCTTCACACCTCCTCGCCCTATGCTGTCTCCCCCATCGCAGTTGCTGTGAGTTCAGAAATGCTGCAAGGACACGTGTTGGGGGTTGAGGGCCAGCAAGGGAAAATGTCACCAGCACACCGAGGATCACCAATACGGGTCCAAAGGTTTTAATGAACGATCACATAGTTACAGCAAGACAACGTTTTGGAGTCTCGCAGGACCCCTTCATCAGGCATGTGGGGGTTGAGGGCCATCCCCTGCAATGGTGGATGGTGAGCAGCCATGGCTGGGAGTGTCCTAGCAAATATACACGCTAGTGATCAGTAGGAGAGAAGAGACTGAGGAAACGCTTCCTCTCTGCCTGCAGCAGACTGATGACATCATCTTGGCCTAGGCAAAGTCGCCAAGCCTCGCAATATGATAAATAGCTTTTTTTAAAAAAAATAAAAATACTGCTTCTGTATATTGTAACCTGCCAGAAAATTAGTCTTGCAAAGTTGTAAAATTACTAAAGGAAATCTATTTTAGTAAGAGAAGATAGTTGGGGGGGGGGGGGGGGCGGGGGGCGGAGGATCATAGATGAGTTTTGGACGTGTTCCTGGCAGGCATCGTTTTTTCAGCAATACCGATACTTGAATCTAGGTTGCGATGTACAATGCAGACCGTCCTTCAAGGTGCTTGGTTTGTGGGCCAGCTTGGCCTGGACTAAAATGCAGTATAGTATGTGGGGTGCTTGCCATGTGGTTGGCACAGGCTGTAAATGGGCACAGTGGCCCCAGCTGTCCGTTTATGGCAGAGTGCATGCTGGGAGCTCTGCCTGTCCCTCATTGAGTTGACGTTTGCCCCCCGTCACAGTCTCCTAACAAGCTTAAAACAAGTGGCAGCTTCTGGCTAGAAATTGATTTAATTAATTGTTATGCCAATAAGCCGGCTTGTTATGCCTGCCATTGGTTAGCGGGATGGCTAACAACTCCGCTGATCAATGGTGCCAATAAAGATTTTACTCATTAATGAGTAGAGCACTAATTACAGTTATCCGGTGACCAATTAGGCTTAGTGTATGGGGAGCTGGTCCAAGCTCTCCCCGTTTAGCTTACAGATCAGAAAAGGCGGTAGAAGCTGCGCAACAAAAGCGAGGGCGATGCGACCTTGAAGAGGGTCATGTGAAAGCAGATGGGTGGCTGCAGTGCAGTTACGGCGTACTGGCCCTGATCTGTCAAAGTGTCGCTGTGCTGAGAAATGGTGTCCTCTGTAAAGCCACCAGTCAGAACTAAGTTGGAGGGCAGGTCTAAATCTGATTGGAGGATGAAGAAAACCATCGGTTTTGATTGCCGAGGCTTTGATGTGCATGAGACACGGTGGAGGGAGATTTACTAACATCTGGTGCAGCTCTGCATAGAAACCAATCGGCTTCCAGGTTTTATTGCCAAAGCCTAATTGAACAAGCTGAAGGTAGAAGTTGATTGGCTCCCATGCACAGCCGCACCAGATTCTGAGTGCTCCAGTTTTAGTAAATCTTTCCAGATGTGTCTTAGTATAGGTGAGTGGTCTCCAAACTGCAGCCTTATGCTTGCCCATATTTGGCCCTTTGGGCCCTATTCCTTCCACTGAAAGAAACAATGAGACCCCCCCCCCCCCCCTCGCCCGACACCAATGATGGGGCACCATTCCCCCCACTGACACCAATGATGGGTACCATTCCACCCACTGACACCAATGATGGGTACCATTCCACCCACTGACACCAATGATGGGTACCATTCCACCCACTGACACCAATGATGGGTACCATTCCACCCACTGACACCAATGATGGGTACCATTCCACCCACTGACACCAATGATGGGTACCATTCCACCCACTGACACCAATGATGGGTACCATTCCACCCACTGACACCAGTGAATGGGGCACCATTCCACCCACTGACACCAGTGATGGGGCACCATTCCACCCACTGACACCAGTGATGGGGCACCATTCCACCCACTGGCACCAATGATGGGGCACCATTCCACCCACTGGCACCAATGATGGGGCACCATTCCTCCCACTGACACCAATGATGGGGCACCATTCCACCCACTGGCACCAATGATGGGGCACCATTCCACCCACTGGCACCAATGATGGGGCACCATTCCACCCACTGCCACCAATGATGGGGTACCATTCCTCCCACTGGCACCAATGATGGGGCACCTTTCCACCTACTGCCACCAATGATGGGGCACCATTCCACCCACTGACACCAATGGTGGGGCACCATTCCTACTAATGATACCAATGGTGGGGCACCATTCCTACTGATGATAGCAATGGTGGGGCACCATTCCTACTAATGATACCAATGGTGGGGCACTATTCCTCCCACTGACACCAGTGGTGGGGCACTATTTCTCCCACTGACACCAGTGATGGGGCACTATTCCTCCCACCTATCATATAGGGCACTACTGCTTCTGAAGCTTAGAAGTTTTGGGGATGAAAAGCTGAAGCCTTCAGTAGGTCTGTGTTTCCTGTATTCATTTTTGATTCTACATTGTTGCAGTGTTTTCTGGATAGCATTAGCCCACTTATTGGTTGTACTTGTTCCCTGAATATGCTCTTTAAGATCCACTTAGGCAGGGTTCTGCATCTCTTGTGGTATAGAGTCTTGTTTTTCTCCCGGGATTGCATGGTTGTTGTAAGTTTTCACTGTTGGGACCAGATCATTCAGTCGAGAGGGTGAAGGTGGCAGGTGGCCTCCACATGGTGCTAGTAGACGAAAGTACTGTAAGATGACAGCAGGTACTACTGAAGGCCCGGCCCAGGGTGGGACCTGCAGTGAGGTGGAAGCTCTGTCATGGCTCGAGCAAAGTCTCCAGGAGTCTCCTAGTTCTCAACTTGTCTGCTGTTCCTCTTATTGACCAGGTCAGACCCCTTGTGAGCTCCCTAATTGAAAATTAATACAGGATCAATACGGAAGGCAATTTGCATATTGATTATACACCGTACTGAATGCACCATATGTGCAGCTGATTGATTGAAGGCCAGAGACAGCTCAAGGAAGCAAAACCTCTTGTAGTCTGAGCTGTGTGGGTATGAGTCTGGTTAGGATTCCTCTACCGGCGTAGGGACCGTAGGAGGGGACTCCACATTCAGAGCCCTGGCCACCCCTTTCTGCCTCAATCCCACCCGTATCTCAATAGCTTCAGTTCTGCAGGTGAAGAGCGAGGCGCACGTCAAGACTGCAATAAAGAGGGTGGGGGTATAATAAATATTTAGTGCGTTCATACGGTGGAGCGTGCACACGCAGCGTGCCGTTGTTTCCGAACAAGCGATCATAGAAGACAATCTGAACGTTGATTAGGTCAGCTATACACCAACCAACCTCCAGCAAGGTGGAAGCATACATTACCCTCTGGATGTACAACCTTCGCTGGATTTTCTGACCACTATAAAGTGCAAGGACCAGCCTGTCCTGGTATGACTCAAATGGATCACTACGCATGCCGATAGCTGGCAAATCTAAAAGACTGTATAAATGAAAGTGCAGCGCTAATAAAAATAGAATAGGACGACAATAAAAGTTCATAAATATTGATGAATAATCCCCACTGTAGCAGAATTCAAATGTTTGTGCTTGGAAGTAACAGTAAAATTGCACACTCACCAGAAGCGCATGGGATATGCGCATATAAATATATCCACCAAGGACCACTTGGGGAGGCAGGGTATATCAGACGTCTGGTGAACTTCCTTCAGGGTGTAGGACAGCACAGCAGTAAATCTTGGGATTAAGTGGAAATCTGCTCATCCAGAGGTCCCCTTTAGGATGGATGGGTGCTCAGCCTGGTTACAGGGATTCCCTCCTCTGGGTGCTGGTTAGGTGAGGATCATCTACAGGCTCTGTAATTAATAGCTCCAGAAAAGAGCAACAAAAGAAGTGCCCATAGTGTAGTAATTTTGAGAAAACTTTATTCCATGGAAGTAGGTATAAGGGGTTAACAGTAATGCAGAGTTAACTCAGCACTGACTGAGATAAAAGATGGCCGCCGGACCAGCATGTGGCTCCGGCGGCATGACGTCACGGTGTGTTGGTTCCTCCTGAAGGAGAGATTGCTCATATGGCTTGTAGTATCATTACTATACAGGAGTTATATCACCAACAGTTTACACAGCACAATTTACAATATACAGGGGACCGTACAATTACAATACAGTTCGATACAGAAGGAATTGGAGGGCCCGGCCCATGGAGCTTACAATCTAAAGGATTGATTTATTCCAGGTACTTGTATAGCACCGTCCGTTTACACAGCACTTTACATATATATTGTACATTCCCATCAGTCTACAATCTAAGGGCCCTAACTCACCTTCATACACACACACATACAAGGGCCAATGTAGACAGGAGCCAATTCCCTCCCAGCATGTCTTTGGAGTGTGGGAGGAAACCGGAGGAAACCCACTCAGGCACAGGGAGAACATGCAAACTCCAGGCAGGTGGAGCCGTGGTTGGGATTCAAACTCACCCTAGTGCTGCCAGGTGGAAGGGCTCACCACTGTGATAATCGGGTACAACTTGTGTAGGAGGATTTGTTTCATCTCTGTTTATCCTCTGAGGCCGGTCACTTCACTGGGTATACGGGAGGATTTTAAGGAGGTGTTACCTTTTTAGTCTTCGGTCACACCAAATCCGACTTCACTTGAGTTGGCACGTCTTCAAAGTTGGATGTCAGTCCATCGTCGGGTGTGGCTTGGAAGACATCCGTGTGACTTCATGCACAGATGTCTATGAGAGCTGCACCTGAACTTGCAAAAAGTAGTGCATGATATGCTTTCAAAATTGGTGCGACTTTGACGGAGTTGGAATTGCACCGATATGACCGCTTCCATTGAGGACAGCAGGGTGCGACTTATGCGCATCGCATGACAAGCCGACAAGTAGCCAGCTTTAGACCTTGCCTTGACTGAACTCCCACCCATTCCTGCAGGCACCAATATTTGGGGGGGGTGGGGGGGTGTGGGATTGCGGTAGATGACACTCTGAGGTGGTCATAGCTTTACAGCATCACAGACCCTAAGGGGTTGGTTCACTGAAGGCAAATAGACAGTGCACTCCACAAGGACAACTTCTCCAGAGCTTCGTAACTGAGGGGAAGCTTCCCTTTGCAAATAATACCCAATCACAAGCAAGGAAAAGGAAAAAAAAAAAACAGCCTTTTTGCTTACACATGATTGGATGATGGAAGTCAGCAGAGCTTCTCCTCATTCACTAAGCTCTAGTGCGCGGGTCTCCAAACATTCTAAACAAAGGGCCAGTTGACTGTCCTTAAGGCTTTAGGAGGCCAAACTCTGGCCAGTGTGAGTAGAAAATGTCCCAGCGTCAGTCTGCATAAACACTATTCCTCCTGTTAAAAACCAATGGTGGAGCAGTGTCCCATTCTTGGCTTTAGCAGGAGGAATCGTGAACCACGGTAACAATTAGAGGCATAGTGCCCCATTGTTGGTGTCAGTGGGAGAAATGGTGCCCCATTGTTGTTGTGTCAGTGGGAGAAATGGTGCCCCATTGTTGGTGTCAGTGGGAGAAATGGTGCCCCATTGTTGGTGTCAGTGGGAGAAATGGTACCCCCATTGTTGGTGTCAGTGGGAGAAATGGTGCCCCATTGTTGGTGTCAGTGGGAGAAATGGTACCCCATTGTTGGTGTCAGTGGGAGGAATGGTGCCCCATTGTTGGTGTCAGTGGGAGAAATGGTGCCCCATTATTGGTCTTAGCAGGAAGAATAGTGAACCATGGTTGGTATCAATTGGAGGCATAGTGCCCCATTGATGGTGTCAGTGGGAGAAATGGTGCCCCATCATTGGTTTTAGCAGGAAAAATAGTGAACCATGGTTGGTATAAATGGGAGACATAGTTCCCCATTAATGGTGTCAGTGGGAGAACTAGTGCCCCGTGTGAGTAGAAAATGTCCCAGCATCAGTGGGAGTAAATCCTGCTCCACCATTGGTTTTTAACAGGAGGAATAGTGCCCCGTTGTTGGTCTTACAGGAAGAACAGTGAACCATGGTTGGTATCAATTGGAGGCATAGTGCCCCATTGATGGTGTCAGTGGGAGAAATAGTGTCCCATCATTGGTCTTAGCAGGAAGAATAGTGCCCCATCGATGGTATCAGTGGGAAGAAGAATGTCCCATTAATGGTGAATGGTGCCTCATCATTGGTGTCAACAATCGTGTCCCAAGGGCCGGATAGAGGCAAGCAAAGGGCCGCAGTTTGGAGAACACTGCTCTGGAACAACTCCCCTTGCAAAGTGCGCAGTCTATTTGCCTTTAGTAAATCCACCCCCATGAGTTCAGTCTAAATGTTGGCGTAGTATCGGGTTGGTTGCATTTTCTGCGAGAAATAAATGCTGTCCGCTCAGAAATCTGCACCGCTCAGCCTGTAGCCTGGTGTCGTTCGGCTCCTCGGCCAATCGGAATACATGTAATATTTTCAGCAGGACGCATATCATCCCAGATGGGTTCTGCTATCTAGACCCGCGTCGAGGTTGCGGCATTCTTGAGTCCAGAGAGTACACAGATGTTGCGTATTATTAGTGTGTGTTTGTCCCGGCGGCCCATACGTTGCGGTTGTGTTTCTAATTTTTTTTTTTCTCACATTGACTGGACAGCAGCCAGAGCGAACGTGTTTTTTTTTTTTTTTTTCCCAGTTCCTATTGACACATATGATGGCATACACATATTGATTTGCTGTACCCGTGTTATTATGTGGATGCTTTGTAGCGGTGTCGGTGGGCCCTGCGCTGCCTCCCCCGCACGAGGAGTCCTTCTGGAGCGAGCCTCCCATTGTCCCACTGACATTGAAATTACATTTCTCATGGTGATTTGAACACGGGGATGTTTGAGGGAGCGAGAGATTCATTCTCACCATGACAGGACATAATAGCTTCACGCTCTGCTAGGAACTGCCACACGAAATTTGCCTCTGCCGCCGCTTCCAACGAGCCGCGCACCGCGCCGAGGCTCGCCCGCAAAAAAAAAACAAGTAGGGCAATCTGGTGTTTGCACACGCGTCTGCCTACCTGGAACGTGTGCTGTGTGTATTGACTGCTGGAGAAGGAGATTCCGTGTCCTGCGGACATCCAAGTCCACGCAGCCACTTCATAAATACATTTGTTAGCGTGTTGAAAATAGAGCGTTGCGTTTTATGGACGCCGCTTTTCTGTCAGCGGTTTTGTTCGACGAGGATCTGTACAGCCTTAACAGCGGTATATATACGATTTATTCCCGCGTCCTCCTCGGGTTTTTATGATGCTCCATGCACACAAGCCCTTTTTTTTTTTTTTTTTAAATAAATATAAAAATTAAAATTAAATATTTAAGCTCAAAGAAGCGCTGAATAAAAAAGCGCTAACGTTTTTTTAGTGGTGTTTTAGTAGCATTTAGGAGCTTTAGTGTTTTTATTTGCATTTTTACATTACATGTAGGGGAAAAAAAAGGTGTGTGAAAGGGGATTTTTTGTTTGTGTTTTTTGGGGATTTTTTGTTTGTATTTTTGGGGATTTTTTGTTTGTGTATTTTGGGGATTTTTTGTTTGTGTATTTTGGGGATTTTTTGTTTGTGTGTGTTTTTTGGGATTTTTGTGTTTGTGTGTGTTGTGTTTTAGGGGATTTTTTGTTTTTGTGTGTTTTGGGGATTTTGTGTTTTTTGGGATTTTTTTGTTTTTTCTTCTTCCGTAAAAACGTTCCCAAAAACTCTACAAAAATCATTTTTTTATTTCTGCTCCGAAACACTGAACCTTGAAAAAATTCTACTACCCTAAAGTAGCGTGCATGGACACATAGGAGAACATGATTACCTTCTAGGAGCAGGAAAAAAAAAAAAAATACTGATAACAGCGTCTAGGAGCTTAAAAAAAACGACAGAGCGCATGAAGCCTAAAAAGAGTGAATGATACAATGTATGAATTTGGAATTTTTTAGAATTTTTTATTTTATTATTTCTTATAGTGGATCAGCTCTAATGCATATAATTCTGCAGCGCTTTTAAGGGTCTGTTCACATTGTTGCATTAGGAAGTGCACATGAATCTTCCTCAAAGCGCAGAATGTTTATTCGTTTTTGCATGCGTACTACATGCACTTTCTTCCTTTTTAATTTTCGCATTTCTGGTCTTTTTTTTTTTTTTTTTTTTTTTTTTGTGGGTTGTGTTTGAAATAAAGACATGTGACTTGACAAATGAACTAAATAAAATACATATCGGGGTTGATTCACTAAAACTGGAGAGTGCAGAATCTGCTGCGGCTGTGTGGGAGCCAATCAGCGTCTAACTTATTATTATACAGGATTTATATATTATTATTATTATACAGGATTTATGGGAGCGCCAACAGTTTGCTCATATTTTTTTATTATTATTATACATTATTTATTATTATTTGTTATTATTATTAGGATTTATACATTATTATTATTATTTATTTTCAGGATTTATATATTATTATTATTATTTTTTTGTTTTTTATGGCGCCAACAGTTTGCTCAGCACTTTACAATATAACGGGAGACAATACAGCAACAATACATTCAGGAACTGCTTGTTCAATGCAGCTTGGACAATAAAACCTGGAAGCTGATTGGCTCCCATGCACAGCAGCACCAGATTTAGCACTCTTCAGTTTTAGTAAACCCCCCCCCATGGTATTTTTGTGCATTTTCAGTGTTCTTTTCATGCATTGCCATTGACTGAAATGGGACTGGATTTTTATTACTAAAATACGCAGAAGATGCAGCGAGCTCATTTTCAGAACCACAACACCGCCTACCTAATGATGGGGACACTGCAAAGTCCCAAAACGTATAGAATGTTGCTTCTATACGATGTGCTGGTGATGGGGGATCCAGCATACATTCGCTAGTAATCTGTACGATTCTACAATATTTGTGGGATGACAATGGAGCCACCAGATCAAACCCACCAATGCAGGGATTCCTGCCGGGAGCGCAACCAAGGATGTCAGCGCTGCACGGCCATGAGATGAGGTAGTCTCATTATTTTAGAAAACCAGACAGCACAACATTTTTAGTTTGTTTTTTACTACTTTTTTTGTTTTGTTTTTTTTTTGTTTTTGTATAGTTTTTTTTTTTTGTTTGTTTTAGTGTTTTTGTTTTTTTTTTTTTTTGTTTTGTTTATAATCTTTGTTTTAGTGTTTCTTTTGTTTTTATAGTGTTTTTTTTTTATTTATTTGTGTAGTGTTTTTATAGTGTTTTTTTTTTTTGTTTGTTTAGTGTTTATGTTTTTTTTGTTTTATAGTCTTTGTTTAGTTTTTCTTTTGTTTTTTATAGTGGTCTTCTTTTTTTTTTTTGTTTAGTGTTTTTGTTTTTTGGGGGGGGGTTGTTTTTTTTTTATAGTCTTTTTATTTAGTGTTTCTTTTGTTTTTATAGTGTTCTCTTTTTGTTTGTTTAGTGTTTGTGTTTTTTTGTTTGTTTTTTTAATATGGAGCAGCAGGAATATTCAAAGATCTCCTGTAAATCTTAGACCAGGATGAGCACTTCTGTAGCTTCCTCTTTATCACACATTGTGAACTAGGAAGTCGTTCATCCTCTGCCCAGTCTGAGGTTCCTATACATCTCCCTCTTCCCGCACTCGGCCTCCCTTTGCTAAGGATGCCACCTTTAGCTCACAAGTGGAACTGCACCAGGGACACCGGAGCGAGCTGCCAGAGCAATCAATGCACAATAAAGGAAGCGCCCTCCTGCTAACCTGAAGTGCCGCTATGCTCTCCTGGAACGACCATGAAAAGGAATCGGACTGTCCTTCCTGCCTTTTTACTTTTGAATCTCCTTTTCTTTTTTGTGGACTCCTCAGCGCCTGTTGGGAACGATGCTTCTTCAGAATCTCCTTCCTGACTGCGTCCCGTACAAGGTTCTAGAAATGCCGTGTCATCTCGCAGGTTCTGCCTGAGGTCACCTTGCTAGTCCAGGGAGATCGGCATGTTTGATGTGATTTAAAAGCCACGATCCATTAAAATGAGGGACTTTACGGCAATGTCACGGCCCAAGTATTCTGTAATACAAATATCTCCTCTACATTTCATTCAGTGGAAACGTATTAAAGCCTAACTCCAGCCTTGCCTTCAGTTTTGCACAGTTCTCTGAAATAGTTGGTTCTGATTTTGCTGCACACTGTGAGCTTCTCCCTGTGTGCATTGGAAGCTACATCAATTCCAATAGAGCTGTACAGTAATAGTGCAGCGCTAAACGATATTCTGAGTATTACGAATCTGACCGTATGCTTATTAAAAGGGGTACTAAATAAAAGTTTATGGAATAAAAATGATGTACAGTTCAAAAGTGACTTTCAGTGCTCTTATGGTGCTTGTTATCCTGGTACGTCTGTGCTTGTGCAATGATTTAGAGAAAATTGCGCACTCACCAGACGCGTGATGTAAAATCCTGTATATATGTATGTATATATATATATATATATATATATATATGTATGTGTGTGTGTATATATATATATATATATAAATATATAAATCCTGTAGTCATCAAGGTGGGTAGGTATTGGAGTGACTTCCCTCTGAAGGGTGGGGTGGTACATCAACTGGGTCCTTGGACTTTAATGATGATCCAAATCAGCCCGAGTTCCCCTTAAGAGATAGGTGGATGCTGCTCCCTGGATGTGCAGGGGGATCCCTCTCTGGACAGGGATGGATCTTTACCACGTGCAGGGCGTCTGAAATGTAATACTCCACTCGTGAGTTAAAACAGGAACATGCCCATAGTGTAGTAAATTGAATGCCAATTTATTCAGGGGGTAAAATAGTTAAAACGATGCATCAAGGTAAAAACAATGATAATATGACGCAATAGGACTAACTGTCCACAAACAAAGATGGCCGCCGGAGCTCCACGTTTGTCCGGCGGCATGACGTCACGGCTTAATTGGCTCCTTCTTACGCGTTTCATCATAAGAGGGGATTGCCAATCAGAGCTGTGCCTCCTTCTGGCAGGAAGATGTCCAGCATCATCTAGCCTTTTCCTCCCCAGCCTGTCTTTTGACCCACCCCTTTTCTTTCATTACAATCAGTTCTTTCAGTCGGAACAGTTCAGCATCACATGTGACCACTACCACAGCTCCTGTTTTCAGGAAGCACCCTGCAAGCCCCTCCCACCAACTGAGAACTGCCTGCATTGCATAGAGCAGCACAGAGCTCTAGTGATGCCACTGGGTTAAATGTTGGGTACGCAATAAAACGGCTTCTCTTTCAGAATTTAATTAGCATGTTGATGAGGGGAGAGAGGAAGATCCAGGGAGAAGCAGATTAGACTTCAGGAAGGGTGAAAACACATGTAAGGGTTTTTCGCCATCTGTGTCCTATTGGGGAGAATTTCCTTAACCCGATGCCACAACAGGAAGTAGGAGGAGATCTCTCCAAATAAAGAGAAATACCCTTTCAGGTAGCTGTCACCTGATCGGTGTCCCCATTGAATGATTTCCCTTCTATTTCTGTTCCGGTGACAACTCAAAATGTTACATTTTTCCCTCACTTTCAGTCACCAGGACACACATGGAAAGCGATTCCTGACTCTAGCCGCAAGTTAAAAACCAAAGATGAACTTTAATTCAGAGTACATGAAAGGTGTATGTAGACCCCAACCATGAGCTTCCCTTTTAACCTCGTTACAACCACCCAACACATGCAGTATGCGCAGCAGGAAAAGGGCGGGGCCTCAGTGCCCATACACTGCACATGTGCACCACTGGGTGGCCGATGTTTGTGCTGAGAGCGCGCTCCCCTCTTGGTACTAAAGATTGGTAGGCTGTGGGATCGACTTCTGATCATGTGACCACTGTGACAGTGGTCACATGATCGCCAATCCTTCCCCCAGGTGTTCCTAACTGTTTGAAGGGGTGTCAGGACGGGTTACGTGTTCCATCAAAAGCATTTTTTTTTGTATACGTTGGTCCTGCCGGAAAGCTTGCTCTCTGTCTGTGCAGGAGGCGGGGTTAATGGATATGGGGAGGGGTCATAAAGATAAGGAGATGTCTTTGTTGTTTGTGATCTGCCAGAATGGAAGTAGGCAGGGCTGACACCATGTGCGTAGGAAGGTGGAGCACACTAGATCTCTGGCACTTTGACCATTATCCTTCTATATACTTGCAGCATGTTTAAAGGGAAAAAAACAAAAGGAAATGTGTATGCATTGCAGATATGTACTAAATACAATTTTTTTTTTTTTTTTTTCTTTTTACACTTTTAACCCTTTCCAACCAACCAGGATTCATCGTTCAGATTTCCCGGTTCAGGATCTCTGGCCTTGCTCCACAGGCCTGGTCCTTGCCTCTTGGTATAACATGGAGCCTGCAATGTATTTTTCTACCATCAGATACTTTTTTTTGCTCTGTTGTGGCTAAACCTCCCTTCCCCAAACAGCTGTCCAATCAAATCTCTTAATTATTTCAGAAGATCCGGCAGAGGACCCAGAAGGAGCCTGTGATGCAGATGCTGACCCAGCGGAGGTGCCCAAAGACCAGGAACCAGAGGGGGCTAAAGACACTAATCGGGGAACAGGTACGGTCCGATATACAGCCGGTGCCATTGATTGCCAACCCGCAGCAAACAAGTGCCTTGAGAAGCGATGACCCTCTGGAGTGTTTTCGGGGATTCTGCATTTTGAAACATTCTAACAAGCTTGCATTTTTGTATTTTTAGAACTTTTTTTTTTTGTTTTTGCATGTACAAGTTTGTGTATTTTTATTTGGAATTTAGATATGGGGTAATGTATCATTTGACATTTCTAAATGGCTGCTGAGAGGAAGTTGGTCACACAGAGAGAAAATCGTTTGTCGGACCGAACACCCTGAGGGATTTGCATTGAGAGAGGGGAGCAGTAAAGCACAGTCACTATGCTGCACTTCTAATGAGAAATTATACACAGAAGAAGCATTTTTCATGCGATTCTAAAGTCATTTTTCAAAAATAACAATTAGCCACCTTACTAACCATTCTGTATCAGCCACCTCTCTCTGCCAATCCCTCCACTGGCCCCCACTCAGTGTCCTCCACCCCTCTCTGCCAATCCCTCCACTGGCCCCCACTCATTGTCCTCCACCCCTCTCTGCCAATCCCTCCACTGGCCTCCACTCAGTGTCCTCCACCTCTCTCTGCTGATCCCTCCACTGGTTTCCATTCAGTGTCCTCCACCCCTCTTTGCCGATCCCTCCACTGACCTCCATTCAGTGTCCTCCACCCCTCTCTGCCAATCCCTCCACTGGCCTCCACCCCTCTCTGCCAATCCCTCCACTGGCCTCCACCCCTCTTGCCAATCCCTCCACTGGCCTCCACCCCTCTCTGCCAATCCCTCCACTGGCCTCCATTCAGTGTCCTCCATCTCTCTCTGCCGATCCCTCCACTGGCCCCCACTCAGTGTCCTCCACCCCTCTCTGCCGATCCCTCCACTACTCAGTACCCTCCACCCCGCTCTGCCAATCCCTCCACTGGCCTCCACCCCTCTCTGCCAATCCCTCCACTGACCTCCACTCAGTGTCCTCCACCCCTCTCTGTCAATCCCTCCACTGACCTCCACTCAGTGTCCTCCTCCCCTCTCTGCCAATCCCTCCACTCAGTGTCCTCCACCCCTCTCTCCCGATCCCTCCACTACTCAGTACCCTCCTCCCCTCTCTGCCAATCCCTCCACTCAGTGTCCTCCACCCCTCTCTGCCAATCCCTCCACTGGCTTTCCATTGCCCAGCGGATAAAATTCAAAACATTAACAATAACGTACAAAGCCATTTATAACTCCGCCCCAAATTACATCACCGATCTTGTCTCCAAATACCACCCAAACCGTACTCTCCGCTCCTCGCATGATCTCCTGCTCTCTAGCTCCCTTGTCTCCTCCTCCCATGCTCATCTCCAGGACTTCTCCAGAGCTTCCTCCATCCTCTGGAATTCTCTACCCCAATTTATCAGACTATCGCCTGCTCTGCTCACTTTTAGGCGATCTCTGAAAACCGATCTCTTCAGGGAAGCCTATCCTGCCCTCAGCTAATAATGGAATCTTCTACTCCTCCTCCCGGTCCATCCCCCACAGTTACTACCTTTTTATACCACTAGCCCCTCCCTCTTGGATTGTAAGCTCCAAGGATCAGGCCCTCCTATCCCTCTTGTATTGAACTGTATTGTTTCTGTATTGTCTCCCTTTATATTGTAAAGCGCCGAGCAAACTGTTGTCGCCATAAATCCTGTATAAAAATATACTTACCTGCTCTGTGTAATGGTTTTGTACAGAGCATCCCCAATCCTCCTCTGATTTCCCCACTGACGCTCCTGGCTGCTCCCCCTTGCCGAATACCCCCCATTAGCAAGCTGCTCGCTATGGGGCACTCATGCATGCTCGCTCCCGAGCCGGCTGTGTGTGTCCATTGACACACACAGCACAGCTTGCCCCCACCCCCTCCTCACTGGCTGTGGTTGACAACAGGAGCCAGTGGTTCCTGTTGCTGTCTCTGAGCCAATGAGGAGGGAAAGAGCACAGCATGCAGAAGGTTTTTTTACCTTCAGACAGATATAAAAGGTGCATCGTCTGCATTGAGTTTATTGTTAATAATTGTAGTTCTCAAAATTAGGTTCTGTCAGACAGAGGACTTAACACAGAATCTAGGACTGATGATTGTGTTGCAAAACTCCTTATTACATTCGTTTTTGTCACAGCACCTTCTGTTCCGCCTGAGCGGGATCCACCTGACTCAGTACCTGCCAAGCTGTCCTCCCATACGAGCGCCGAGCCTCCCCCTAAGAGACCAAGATCTGCCGAGGAGAAGAGAGAGCAGGTAGTAGTTTCTGTTGTTCTTTTTGCCTTTTGTATAACTCATCATCCTCCTTCCGTATGTTGTGTACCTTGTTCATCCTCTGCTGCCTGCTCTCACCCCTTTCCTCCCTTTTGTATAACTCCTCATCCTCCTTCCCTATGTTGTGTACCTTGTTCATCCTCTGCTGCCTGCTCTCACCCCTTTCCTCCCTTTTGTATAACTCCTCATCCTCCTTCCCTATGTTGTGTACCTTGTTCATCCTCTGCTGCCTGCTCTCACCCCTTTCCTCCCTTTTGTATAACTCCTCATCCTCCTTCCCTATGTTGTGTACCTTGTTCATCCTCTGCTGCCTGCTCTCACCCCTTTCCTCCCTTTTGTATAACTCCTCATCCTCCTTCCTTATGTTGTGTACCTTGTTCATCCTGCCTGCTCTCACCCCTTTCCTCCCTTGTTTTTCCTGCCTCCAGCTCTTCCAGTGTCCATACTGCAAGTACACCAATGCAGACGTGAATAGACTGCGGGTCCACGCCATGACGCAGCACTCCGTGCAGCCAATGCTGCGCTGTCCACTTTGCCAAGATATGTTAAACAACAAGATCCACCTACAGCTGCACCTTACCCACCTGCACAGCGTGGCCCCGGACTGCGTGGACAAACTCATCATTACAGTAAGTGGCACACACATCTTTGGGTCGGTTGTGAAGAACTGGCCCGTCTGTGCTGTTGTGGTCATCAGGTACCAAATGGAACAACTACCGAAAGATACTTTAGACGCCATAAAAAAAAGGGTGTTATCACATTGGTTGAGACATTTTAACCTCTTCACGCCGGCCGCATGCAAATGTGCAGCCTCCCGGAGTCTGGGCCTAGAGGCCGAGCGGCCGCACATTTGTGTTCTATTAAAAAAGGACATATGTGCCGAGAGCACGGGCCCTGCGCGCTCCCAGCACACATGTCCGGTACTCACGGAAAGGTACCGAGCTCCTCTTTCGATTGGGACCTTTCCCGATCATGTGACCGCCGTGACCCAAAACCCCGCCTCCCGGCTTCTGAAACTCTTAAAGGGCCGGGAGGCGCTGGCCTGAAGAGGTTAAGGTTTGGATTAACCCCCCCGGTCACATCAAGCTGGACTTACAGTGAAGTCGCACGATTTCAAAGTCGGGTGAGATTCCGATTTCAGGTGCAATTTGCAAGACATCTGACACGGATGTCTATGCAAATCGCACCAAAAGTAGACCATGTACTACTTTAGAAATCGGTGCGGCTCCGACCAAGTCGGAACCGCACCGATTTGACCGCTGTAACTGCGGACAATAGGGTGTGACTTGGCGTACAATTTGCAAATCGCATGCCAGGTCACACCCGATGTGACCGGGGTGTAAAGGACAGCTCTTCTTTAATACCATTATAATGACTACCCCCTCAGACCCCAGAGGCTCATACTTACCTGCCCTCACTTCTGCCAGATCTGGCTGGGCATTTGCTTCTTCTGCATTCCTATAGGGAGGCAGTTTCGTTGAGTCTATCCTGTGTCACAATGGTGGACGGTCTGGAGTAAATAGAGGTTTTTCCATTGTTGTGCTTTTCCTAAACGGTGTACTCAGCTTTTTTTCTGATGAAAGGCAACAGAAAAAAAACAGGTCTGCTTCAATGGAACTTTAGTGCAAATCCCGGACGAGCCCCCAACTGTTGTGCTTTATGGCAATGTGACCTTACTAGATGCAAAGCAAAACATCCGAGGCTGCATAGAAGAAACAGCCATCTGATCTAGTGACTCTGCAGTGGTGGCTGTGCAGTTGCCTCTCCACATAGTGACCAGGGGCAGACTGACCATTTGGAAACTCGGGCACTGCCCGAGGGCCCAGGGTCAGTAGGGGGCCCCAAGAGATGCCCCTGGTACCTTTTTCATAGGCTTTTTTGAGTGTGGGCAAGGACACAAGGGCCCCATGATCCCCTATTGCCCGGGTGCCCCATGAGTTGTCAGTCTGCCCCTGATAGTGACTGCCTATCTTTCACTGCGATTGTGTTACAAACTCCATATAACCATAGTATGATGGTAATAGGATCTGCCTGTTGGTCACGGCTGGGGAAGTATAGCGGGGTCACTGGGTCTAGTTACAGCAGCCAAACACATAATGGGGGAGATGTAATCAAACCGATGCACTCAGAATCTGGTGTAGCTATGTATGGTAGCCAATCGGCTTCGACAACAAGACCTGGAAGCTGACTGGTTTATGTGCAGAGCTGCACCAGATATTGCACTCTAATTCTAGTTCACTGGTTGATAAATCTTTGGGGCCAGTTAAAAACGTTCAGCTGATTCCCCCTCCCAGCCCCAGCCTTACGATTTGCAGCCCATGAGGAGTATGGCAGTTGCTAGTATGGTGGATGTATCTAGTGAAAGGAGGACTTCAACAAAATGGTGGCCATCTGCACACAGGCACCGACTCCCTGATGCATAAATGTAATGAAATGGGTAAATGGCCAGCTTACATTTCGGGAGTGCTTGGATATAGACATAGGAATTTGGCTAGTGGGGCATCTATAAAAAGTTGGAAGCTGGAGCCACATAACAGGTCACTTTAAAGCCAATATTTTCACATTAACTTAGTGGTTGTAAACCCTTCATATACCCAGTGAAGTGTCCGGCCTGATACAGAGATGAAACAAATCCTCCTACACAAGTTGTACTTGTTTATCTGCAGTATTCTCTATATCTGTTGAAAGTGCTGAGTTTATAAAGCTTGTCTGAGAGTTCAGAAAAAAGGAGGTGGAGAGCTGAGATTACACTCTGCAGAGCTCAGTGGGGAGAGCTCTGGGAGCTGATTGGAGGGAAGAGACATACCCCCCCCCTCCTTCACACAGCATACACACAGGAACAGAGCTGATTGGCGGGAAGAGACACCCCCCCCCCCCCCTCCATACAGCATACACACAGGAACAGAGCTGAAGCTGTCAGTCTACTGGAGCTCCCTCCCCTGTCACCATTTTTCTCTTGGTGTCGGGAAAACTTGTCAGAAGTGGCTCATTCTGACAGCAGAGGAAGGAGGCAGCAGACAGCAATGACACTTAGTGCTCTGGACTGCGACAAGTACACACTATAGAGGGATGTGCTTTGTTCATATTTCATGTCTGAGGTTTACAACACTTTAAATAGGAGGAGATGATCTTCCCGCGGAAAGGAGAATCCATTCCTAAAATCCGTGGAGATGCCCATGGCAGATCTGTGCGCATGCCCAGCTCGCACTAGCGTAATGTCGCTAATAACTCCCTGCAACCTGCCCTGTGTCAAGTCCGTTACCACAGCAACCAGGACTTCACTTCTGCTCCAAATCCTGCACCACTGTTCACAGGCACACTCTGTCCTGTCCTCTGTAACACGCGGCGCACGGTCACGCCACTCCTGTGACCAAGGAACCCGAACGCGCTACATCATGCCTTGTCGCAGCCAGCCCCGCGGCTCCCCTGATCGCGTCGCCTCCGGTCTTTCACTGCCCTTTAATGTGAAACGTGCCTTTCGCCCTTTATCTCCCCGTCCTCCTTTTTTGGTGTCGTGTCCCCGCTGCCGTTTGCACACATTGGCCAGGAATTTAAGTAGCAGCGCTTGGCTCATGTTTGCCAATTAGATGGTGTAAATTCAAAGTGACCTTAATATCCTCCCATTGCTAACGAGTTTCTCTCTCCAACCTTTGCACTCTTTGTAATGGAAATATGTAGTCTGTCTGCAAGGAGGATTTGCATGTTGGACCTCGCTGACAGTCAGAAGGGTTTTCTTCCCCCCTTGACCTCCTTCCTCTTTCCTTTGTCTGTGTCCTTAGTTTTCCTCTCACCGTCAGCTGCTTTTCTTCGTCTACACCCCCCCCCCCTTTTTGCTCACTATTTGTCTCTACCGCCTCCCCCTGGTCCCCCCACCTTTTTTTTATTTTCTATTCCTTTTCTCTATGCATATCGCAATGAGGAAAGTAGTCTGGTTATAGGAAAGGCCCTGCAAGTCCGGCATCCACCTCTCAGGCCTCAGCATGGTGTAAACAGCCTCTGAAAACGTGGCCATGCGCTGTCAGCTGGGCCTCCTCACACAATTAGCATGTAATTATCCCGTGTGATGGGCAGCCAGAGGAGAGGCAGCTGACACGTTGCATCGGTGACCCGCGTGTCAGAGATCAGTGGGCGCAGCGAGCAGTGCAGTGTGCTCCTTAATGATGCCATTTACATATCTGGCCGGGCAGCTGCGTAGTGCAGGACCCATACTGTGCTCTATGCAGGACAAGTGTCATTATTTACACTGCATGCTGGCCATGGAGAGGAGCACAGCGTTCTCGCGTGCGCAGCTAGACTTGGCGAGAGATTGTCGCACAAAGCAGACAATTTTGTAGAAATTGTGCAACAGTACAATCGTGTACGAGGCGTGAGCGGTCACAGATATGGCGGATTGGAGCCCCTCTGTGTGGGGCTCCAATCCGCTAAATGGTGGCTAAATGGTTAGCATTTCCACCTGGCAGTACTAGGGTCGCTGGTTCAAATCCCGACCACATGGCACCACCTGCCTGGAGTTTGCATGTTCTTCCTGTGCCTGCGTGGGTTTCCTCCCACTCTCCAAAGACATGATCGTAGGTGAATTGGCTGCTGTCTAAATTGTCCCTAATGTGTATGAATGTAAAGTTAGGGACCTTAGATTGTACACCCCTTGAGGGTTAGGGACCTTAGATTGTACACCCCTTGAGGGTTAGGGACCTTAGATTGTACACCCCTTGAGGGTTAGGGACCTTAGATTGTACGCCCCTTGAGGGTTAGGGACCTTAGATTGTACGCCCCTTGAGGGTTAGGGACCTTAGATTGTACGCCCCTTGAGGGTTAGGGACCTTAGATTGTACACCCCTTGAGGGTTAGGGACTGATGTGAATGTACAATATATATGGAAAAGCACTGCGTAAATTGACAGCATTATACAAGTACCTGAAATAAATAAATTAAGCATCGATTTAGACTTTGGGGTGATTTACTAAAATTGGAGAGTGTAAAATCTAGTGCAGCTCTGCATTGAAACCAATCGGCTTCCAGGTTTTTGTTTTTTTTTTTTTGTCAAAGCTTAATTGAACAAACTGAAGTTAGACGCCGATTGGTTTCCAGGCAGAGCTGCACCAGATTTCGCACTCTCTCCAGTTTTAGTAAATCAACCTTTATGTATCTCATTAATGCCCCATCTTATCCCATGTTAAGGTAGCGCATTCATTTTAAATAGGTTAGTAACAAACGCATTGAAAAAAAAAAAAAAATCCAATAAAAACGGCGCACCACTCCACACGTGTTCTGGTATGCTGCAGTGTAGGTGAGTTGCCCGCTGTTGTAACCGTGCGATTAAAAGTGACTGGGACAGTGTTTGGTATTGAGCAGGGCACAGATATGGACGCACGCTAAAAAATTTGTTTAGGATAGACAACAATTTGTAAACGCGGAATAATAAATTTAAAGTAGTCGAAGGTTTTTTTTACTTTCATGAATTCTATGCATGAAGGTAAAAAAAAAGCCTTCTGTGTGCAGCTTTCCCAGAGCCCCCTCAGTACACACCTGAGCCCGATTTCGATCCAGCAATGTTCATGGGAGCAGTGGCTCACTCCTCAGTGGCTCAGAGACAAGAGCGGGAGTCAGTCACAGCCAGTGAAAAGGCAGC